ACAGATGGATGGATGGATGGACAGATGGATTAACAGATGGATGGATGGATGGATGAACAGATGGATGGATGGACAGGCAGATAGATGGATGGATGGACAGACAGATGGATGGATGGATGGACAGATGGATGGATGGACAGACAGATGGATGGATGGATGGATGGATGGATGGATGGATGGAGGGACAGATGGATGGATGGATGAACAGATGGATGGACAGATGGGTGGATGGATGGACAGATGGATGGATGGATGGATGGACAGACAGATGGATGAATGGACAGATGGATGGATGGACAGATGGATGGATGGACAGATGGATGGATGGATGGATGGACAGATGGATGGATGGATGGATGGATGGATGGATGGATGGAGGGACAGATGGATGGATGGATGAACAGATGGATGGACAGATGGGTGGATGGATGGACAGATGGATGGATGGATGGATGGACAGACAGATGGATGAATGGACAGATGGATGGATGGACAGATGGATGGATGGACAGATGGATGGATGGATGGATGGACAGATGGATGGATGGATGGACGGATGGATGGATGGATGGATGGTTGGTTGGATGGATGGATGGATGGATGGACAGATGGATGGATGGATGGATGGAGGGACAGATGGACAGATGGATGGATGGATAGAAAAGTGTCCACAGAAAGCAGACATTTACCTTGAACGTAGCTAAGCCGTAGAGTCTTGTTGTGTGAACAGTTTCAGGAGAGACGTTGGTGATGTTGGTTATAAACTCCTCTAAATATTTACAGGCTTGCTCCAGGTGGGTGGTGTTAATGATAATCTGCACCAGCTATAAAAAATACAAACTTAGAAAATGACAAGCTGCTTCTTTATGATGAACGATGAGTCCATGATTCTTTCTCACCTCGGTCAGACCTATGTGAGGTTTCTTGATGAGGTTTTGCAAACAGCTACTGAGAGTTCTCGTCAGCAGCAGGTTGGTTGATTTTCGCAGCATGTCATCAATCTCTGTTGAACTGGACACAGATTCAGATTTAATGCATTTATAGACTGAACAGAGCCCAAACCAACACTATTATAACACACTGACTGGGGTTGCTGCAAAGCTATTTTTAAGGTTAAAGCTTATGGATTTTAAAATTTTAGTAGCTTACCTGCGATGTAATGACTCTGAAAACTTGAGACTGGCGTAAATAAACTCTTTGACTTGTGTGTAAATCTGAGGAACAGACTGGGACATTGGCAGCTTCTTAGGAAAGCCCTGCTGCTTACACACAAATAAAACCAAATATTAATAGATTGAACACAACTTATCAGTTATACAACCATGCTTCTTTATGGAATTATGAGATGATGGTTAATCATGTTACCTTTTCAATCTCTGCATCATGGAAGGGAAAGCGACTGACCACCAGTTTATACTCCTCTTCTGTTTCCACAGGGATGGGACTGTAGTTGTCAGACTCAAAAATCTCTCTGTAGAAAATATGACCAATACACACTATTGTTTTCAACATCCGTAACAAGAAAAAGTACAGTTGAAACCAGATTTATCAACACTGTCTAAGACAAGTTAACATTTTATTTCCATATTGGCTGACAATCAGTCAGAATAAGGACTAATATCAAAACAATATAAGGAAATTAAGAACATAAAATGCATGAAATAACAAGGAAGTTAAAAATAAAAGCCCCTTAAATAAGTAATGCAGCTTTACAAAATTACTAAATAAAAGTGTCATAAAATAATACTGACCAAAAAAAACAAACAAAACAAATAAAGTCATGCTTTTATAATCATCTTATAGGTTAAATGCTTATTTTTAAGAGAAAAACTTCAGCATTATTTTGCTGCCTAAACAAGGAGAGACGGTTACAGTGAAAGAAAACATGAACAAATCCCACCTGAAAACCACGACCCATTTCTTCAGCAGAGTTTCATTGTACTGGTCTCTGACCTCAAAGAGCAGGTCAAAGAGTCGGTTCACCGGGAAACCATAACCCTACACACACACAGAAAGTAAGCCAGTGCTATTATTCTGATTTGTCGGAGACACTTCAAACATAATTTATTCCAAATAGACAAAACACTAAACAAACCTGCAGTGTGTCAGCAAAGATAACAATGAGATTCTTCAGCTCCAGAACCAGATCAGGGTCTTCACAGTACGACTAGAGAGTAAAGAAGCAAATATTTACTAAACAACAGGCCTGTGTATTGGCAAGAATTTGGCAATACGATACATATCAGTGTTTCCCCTAGGAAATTGGTCTTGATTGGAGCTACTTGTTTTGGGAAAACATACATTTACACGACTCACCTTCAATTATGGTAATAAATTTACACATACATGAATATTTAATTGCCCAACTACATCCTAAAGTTAAGGACTCGTCATGATAATTATCAATAAAATGATTATTGATAATAAGTGATCAGAACTGTGTGCAGCAGATGATCTGAGTCCAGAGTTGTCAGTTTGAAACCTTCTGGAGCTCTTCTGTGTGACTCCAGGTGCTCCGCCTGTATAATGGTAGAGGAAACACTGAATATTCCGCTAGTTTTAGCTTTTGTATTTTAGCTAAAGATTTGCTGAGTTTTACATTTAAATGGTTTGGATAATTTAAAATACATGTGAGAACAAGTAGTAATAAGAACTAGTAATAACTTGTAGTAATTTTAGTAAAAGTAAAATACACCTGTTAGTAAAAGTAATGAGTAGTATTGAGTAGAATTGATGAACATTCTTAATAAATTGTAGTAATGGTAATGTAGTATGTTAAGTAGTATAATGAGAAAAAGAAAAAAATAGTATAGGTCTTCTGGACGGGTTCTTCTCTAATGAAACGTTTCGTCTCTCCTCCAAGAGAC